TTCTTATATTATAAAAACTAATTTTGCAAAAAAGTAATCCTTATTTTCAAATATAATTGTACAAAGTTTTATTTAAACATTTTAGCATTTTAAAAAAGTAAATCAGAACTAAAAAAGTGCAAAAACACAGGCAAATTTGCCTGTGTTGGTCTACATATTAAGGGATATATTTATAAAAATAAACTTTTAAAATTTTTTAAATAAAAGTCTAGGCAGGTAAGTTATCTTTTTTGTTTTATGTTATGAATATGATTGTAAAAATTAGAAATCAAGTGTTTGGTGAAGTTTTTTTTAAAAAAGCTAGTTATAACTTTACTCACGTTGGCAAATCGTATTATGGACTCTGCGAAAGTTCTATCAACTTCTAGTAGTTTTCTTACTGTATAGCGAATCTCATTCCACTCTTCCACACTAAATAATATTTCCGCTTCTTGATCATCTAAGTCAATAATCCACGAATGGAGATAATTTTCAACTGGCAGTTGCTTACAATGTTCATAAATTGTGTCTTCGATACACTTTCCATTTGAGAGAAACTACTTTTGAGCCACATTCATTTTTACATAGAATTCTTGAAATTCCATGAGCTGTGATAATAATAACAATGATGAAGGACTCTTATCTTCAGCACCACTTTATTGAAAAAGATATAAGTTGTAAACAAAGAAATTTCAATTAAAAGAATTATTAAAATACTTTAGTATATAATCAGAATCATCATCCTCAGATGTAAGTACATCTCTGATCTTTTTCTGTCCCGATTGTTCTGCTGTTAATGGCCCCATTAATTGTTTATCTACAATTATCGGCTGATGGAGATGTAGCACACGAGAACGTTCTTTTTCTCATTTTTTTGCTATTTTATCATCGGATCCCTAACAAGAATGAGGAATTAGTAATGTTTTAACTAATAGTAGATCTAACCAAATCTAACTTTTCCATCTTATTCAAACATCAGCTAAACCTAAAGATAAACTGTGTCCGAATAGGTCCAGCACTGGCTTGACCTAAAGACTTGAAGCATCAGGCAAACCTAAAGATCACTTGTGCCCCAGCACTAGTTTTGTAGCTCGACCTAAAGACTTGAATAACAAAGAAACCTGAAGATTCCCTGCCATGCCACTTACTCTATGGTTTACGTCACTTATAGTCATCAAAGAAAATTCATATAAATTTAAATAGCTTCTTATCTTTTAATTTAAGTGATATTAAAAATAAAAATAGTAAATTCGATACTGCTCTTTCAGATTTATAGCTTATTTTTTTTCTGTAATTTGTTATTTTGTAAAGTATTAAAGGTTAAAGTTAATTAATTTCCTAAATTTTAGAATAAATATAAAAATTTCTTAGGTGGCATGAATTTTTGACCAATAATAAGCAAGACATGTGACCAAATCTGATAA